GGGCCCAGCCGCTCCGCGGCACGTGGGATCCTCCCGGACCGGGGCACGAGCCCCGCGTCCCCTGCGTCGGCGGGCGGACTCTCAGCCACCGCGCCGCCAGGGACGCCCCAGGTGTTTCTTTCTAAAGGAGAAGAGTGATGCGATGACAAATACCTGCGCGGCGCCGAGGCGACCCCGATCCGGCCCTGACGGAGACGAGGCCCGGTGCTCGCAGGGAGCGCGAGAGGGCGGGCGCCGCGAACGCCTGGCAGGCGCACCGACCGTGTGACTTCCGGGGAGGGCGGCAGAGGCAGAGGCAGGAGCCAGCGCCTCCGCCCTCATCGACTAGACAGTGGACGCTGGAGGCACGCTGACCGGCCACGAGCACGAGGCTCTCGAGGAAAACGCCGCCTCTTGAGGCCTTCTCAGCTACGTCACAGCGACCCTGCCACTGATCTCCTCAAAGGGAGTCCGGAGGAAGCTCGGCCAGGAGCCCAAGAGCATCACGACCACTGGCCGAGTCCCGCCGGGAATACAGAAAGCCTGGACGCCAGTAAACCTGTGATTCCGCGTGTTACCACATGGACACCTGTACCCACCAGCCCCCAGCTTCTGGGGTGCCACAGTTATGGAACTCTGGGAGCTGCCCAGGGAGGAGCCTCGACCTAGTAAACAAGCAGAGCTCATGCAGGCCTTTCTGCAAAACACTGCTCCTTTTGTAGTAACTGCTTTCACCAAAGGATTAACAGTGTGACCATTTGGTTCTTCTCTGGAGACATAATTTGTTGAAATACTTTCTCAAACAGTTCTGACCAAAGCACTTCCAATATAAAGATTTCAAAATTATTCATAACTGAAGTCACTCAATATTTATAACATTAAAATGAACTTGGGGCTTCCCTGGTGGCGCAGTGGTTGAGAGTCCGCCTGCCGACGCAGGGGACGCGGGTTCGTGCCCCGGTCCGGGAAGAGCCCACATGCCGCGGAGCGGCCGGGCCCGTGAGCCGTGGCCGCTGGGCCTGCGCGTCCGGAGCCTGCGCTCCGCAACGGGAGAGGCCACAACAGTGAGAGGCCTGTGTACCGCAAAAAAAACAAAAACAAAAACAAAAACAAACAAAAAAATGAACTTGACTATACGACATGAGAGTTTTATTATAGCTTTTAACTGTAAAATATTGTAAAATCTTCCCATGTCCTGGTTTATGAACCAAAACAATATTAAAGCAATTCCCAAACAGACTTTAATTAAAACACTTAGTGAATTTTAAATGAGCCAGTGATTTATTAAACGGCTTTCTTTCCTTAAAGATTATTTAAAAAAAAATTAAAGTACATATATGAACACTACATGATTCTAAAAGAAACTTCAATGTCTAAAAAAACCTAACTTGACTCAATGTCTTTTCCTGATTTGCACTGAAGTCAAGATAAGCATATTACAAACGAGCCTCTTCACGAAAGACAAATCCAAAAGCACAAGAAGCCACTTTTCAATTACTTTAAGAACACTTTTGTCTTTGCGAAGCTGCTAGAAACCAAGGGCCAGGCGGGGACACGACCTCCGCCGGGGTTTACCTGGCATATTTCTCAGGAGCTTGGCGTTGCACATGTGCCCCTTCCGGATGTCAGTGAGGATGTACTCCATCCGCTTGGCCCTCCAAAGGAAGTTAAACACTCTCAGGTAGTGGCTCATACACTCTCGGGTGAACACCTGGAAAGAGCAGAACACAGGCTGACAGGATCCTGTGAGGTGAGGGTCCTCCCGGGGCAGGGCTCAGTCTTGTTTTTTTTTTTTCCTTAAACAAAAAGCCAGAGAACACACAACCAACTCTAACATATTCTAAGTAGTATGTGAGCCACCAACACAGCACACTTTAGGAAATCGTCATCACACAGCAACCACGCCGACTGTTTATGTGTCAGAGCACATTCAACAGACCTGATGTACAAAGTTCAGTGTGACCGAAATTCCTTACAACTATGAACTGTCTTGAGGGGGGACATTCACATCCCACTGCATTCACACAGGGAAACAGCACCCACAGGACGTGGCCCCTCAGTCCATCACTTACTGCAGAATAAGGTTCGGAGGGACATTCAACAAATAAGCTCCTGACACCTCATGTAACGCCCTGGAGGTCAGGGAGAAATGAATGGCTTTTATCCTGCCCGTTGTCAAGATGACACCTGTCCTTCCAAGTCCTTCTTTGCAGAATCTGTAGGGACCTGCGGTACTGCTGTGCTACGGAGGACGCAGCCATGTAACGGAGGTATGTACCCGTTCCAGTGAAATTAAATGCTACACAAACAATGACAGTCTCAATGAGAATAGAAAGGAAATACAGAGTAATATGGTAAATTAAACAGGGAAAAATCAGGAAATCCATTTGCTTCTAAAATCTGATTCTAAAACCATCAATTTGTAAATAAAATAGCCCTCTTTTTATCTTTCTAGTAACTTCTGTATCCAACTGCACAGAATTTAATGTGATAGTTAAAAATCATTTCAGTTTCTAATGCTAGTCTGACTATCTGCAGCTGCATAACAAGATGGCTACAGGTACAGCCACTCCACTGAGAACATGCCAACCCAGGACATAGGCTGACCCTGGGACTGGAGGGCAAGGACCGGACAGGGAAGAGGCCACTCCCCGTGTGAGTCCTGGGCAGACTCCGCCAACCAATTAATTACACGACCTCTCCTCCTTCCAGTCCAGCCTCTCCCGTCGGACCATCAACCCGCTGGAGTCGGCAAGGAGACTGACACCTACTAGCCACAGCAGGGATCTATCTTAAATTTCTTTTTACATACATCTACGATATAAACTTATTTTCTTGACTCTACTAGAGCTTTTAAAATTCTAAAATCTTGAAAATACAACATTGCGTCATCAATTGTTTATGCACAAGGTATGCAATGCCTAACTTCAGTACTCTCGTAAGATGTGCAAAATCATACAATAATTAAGTAACCGCGTATGCAGACCATGTTCAGTGTATCTATTACTCCAGGCACCGACATTTGGTGAAATAATCGATGCAGCTGCCTTCGCTACGGTATCATTTATACTACGAAGGAATAATATGTAATATATGCAATATTAACAAGGTAGATAATATGAAAGTTTCTAACATAAACAATTTGTTAAACTATCCTGCGTTGTACATTATAATTACTTAAAACTATTTACGACATACATCAAAGGAGAAAAAACTAATTTGAGTAGGACCAAAACTTAAGTTTGAGCACAGTTATATACTGAAAATGTCGTAGCTTTGATCTGGCAAAACTGAAACACTGGGGGTTCATGTGTAAACAGCCGGCCCCGGTAGCTACCGCCTCACAGGACACAGACAGGGCAAAGCTGTCAGCCCAAGGGGAACGCAGGAGAGCGCGGCTTCGGTGCAGGCTCTCCAGCAGGAGGTGGGCCCACATCGGCCCTGGGCAGGAGGGACGGCCACGGACAGCCGGCCCCGCAGAGGCCGCGGGGGGCACTGTAGAGCCACTCACACTATTTCCTAACGAAGTACTTTCCCCGGAGTGAGAAGAAAGGCATGTCCCCTCTTCAGTACCCCAGATGTGGAAATGGCTGAGAGAAGTTCCACGAGGTGCCCTGGTCAAGGGGAGCTCACTCAAGTCTGAATAAAGAAGAACTGGGCACTAAAGAGGGCACTTCAATTGCAGACACACAAGACAGCCGTGCTGGCCAATCCTTTATGACCTGGGAACCATCCAAGGAAACAGTGCTTTTCTTTAAACACAGTGAAAGAGCGCCGTGAACAACTGCGCAGCGATTTTCTCATCAGCTCAAATGGATACTAAATATCAAATTTTATCCAAGTAGTACAAATACAACGCCACTACAACACTTTATAGGTCCCTTCAAACTATCCTAAATTAGTCACCGCAGCCTAAGAATAACGGAACAAAACGAATAACCCATTTGTTAAGTACTTGCTGAAACCTATGATAAGAACAACTGATACTAACAATTCTTAAAATAATCCAGCACTTCAGCACTCATTAGTGACTGGTGCACACACACACGCACACGCACACACACACGACTCTGGCTCGAGCATTCATTCAACGGATGCATCCGGGATGTGAGCAAGCACTTCACACGGAGCTCTAGAGAGAAACCGACTCTGAAGCAACAGGATGTGCAGCCACCCAAACAGCTAGGACGGCACCCAGCAGGATCTTACGGTTGCAATGGGCCCATCGACGTGGTAATCCAGGCTGAAAACGTCCCAGCCGGTGTCACCTGGAGAGACCTGAGAGCAAAAACAAACACACAACTGCAGGGCTTCCCACCACTGTGAGGCTGTCGAGTCCTCAAAGGAAAGGCATTAAAATAAAGCCCAATTTTTAAAAACCACTCAGCAGTTTTGAGCATGAGCTGCCTGAGAGCAGAGGAGGGCATCTTTTGTCCACTCCTGTACCCTCAGCATCTAGACAGACAGGCACATACGAGGTGCCCTGCAAATATTCTGGAATAACGAGCATATTTTAAATGAATATTGTAAAATCAGTTTTAACATTCATCAGCATTTTCTTATGACAAAAACCCACTGCCTTTTGTGTTCCTAATCCATAAAAGTAAACACTTAAAAAAAACCCACAGGTTCTGCTAATGGTCCTTCATCATAAGTAAGCAAACAGTGTATTATGTTTACGAAGTACTCATTCCCCTAAAAAAAGTCATCTTCTATCAACTAAAACTAAACACCTCTGTTTGTGATCAATGCTATTGCGATCTGTCACCTCGTCACCAGCAGCAGCAGCGGTGGTGACTAAGCGTCCACGTGGCCAGGTCCCAGGACAGAGCTGCATGTCCCCTGCCCGCAGCCCTGGGGGCCCTCTGTCAGGAGAACACACTGAGGTGCGGGGACCCGTCTGAGGCCACACGGCGCCAGGCCACCAGACGGGGATTCCGACACACGGTGGCCAGCTCCCCCCCACCAGAGCGGAGCAGCATGGAACAGCGAAGAGAAGAGAAGAGAGCAGAGCAGAGCAGAGCGGAGCAGCGGGGCCTCAGGCCACACGGAGGGCGCCAGCGAGGAGCCCCGGGTGGGACCAGAGCTGCGGTACCTCCAGCAGCCTCACATCCAGTCTTCTGAGGGCCTCAGGGCTGTCAAACTGGGCGTTGGTGGCTCTGACAGCTGTTTCAAGAATTCCAGTCAAGTTGTGTTGGTACAAAGTCGTAGCCGGACGGACAAGTTCTGGTCTTAACAGATTTTTATAAAAGTAAAAGAGAATGTTACTTGAATTCTTAATGCACTTTCTAAAAACTTAAAATTATAAAGAGTTCAAATTACAAAACCTAAAAGGACAAATGGAACTGATACAACACGGTAACAAAATGACTATAAAATTTGAATGCTACAGAATTAACTATAAATAAGATTTCATCAAGTATTTTGGGGAGCAAAACACTTCTTTAAAATTAATTTTGATTCAGCTTAAAATTGAAAATCCTTAAGTGAGCCACGCATGTTAAAAAATACAGTTTTCAAACTTACGCCTGGCCTACAGTAGCATGAACTACTGTAACTTCCTGTACAGATCCAATGGGCAGAAAGGACTAGATTAAATCAAAACAATTGGCTGTGTGGACACCATGATTCTAAAGGCTAAAAACTACTGTATTACCGCAAACATTTAAGGGTTACTGACATCTGCATTCCTAAATATGAAACTGACATTTCCGAGATCCGCCCCAGGTGTGCGCAGGGTGATAAAGGACCAGCAACGTCAGTGTCGCTCAAATAAATCTGAGGCAAGCTAGAGACTGATGACATTCCCCTTTTAAAACTGGAAACTTAAAACAGGCCTTTGAGAAGAAATAAAGTTTTCATTTACTGTCAAGGATGAGACACTCTAATTATTAAAACGCAGCATAAGGCAAACACGGCTAAGTCAGCTAAATGATGCGAGATCTGCAACACGGCCGTGGCCTCTAAACGTTCACGAAACACCTGCTCCCCTCCACCCCAAACCTGCACACTTGCCCCCCGCCCCCTGGGCCACTGAAAGAACATCTCCCTCTAAAAACTCATCTCTACCCACTCCCCACAGGTGCTGCCCTGGGACCAGTACCTAAGTCACCAGTGACCCCCCTTCCTTACAGGGAGCAGAAAGGCTCCTTCAGGAAGCACAACCACCGAAACTTCATGTTCAGCAGATCATCAACTCTTTCATGAGCTAATTCCTCAAACAAGGTTACCCCTGAGCCTGCTTGCTATGTGTGCCCCCAAAACACGGCCCCCAAAGACGGCCTTCTGGTTACAGGTGGAACTACGGAGTTTCCGTGGCTGAAGCGGCTTCTCAAGTGCAGTCCCCGTGCCAGCAGCTTCCCCTCGGCCGGGACCCTCTTAGGGACGCACCGTCCTGGCTCCGGCCCAGAGCCACGGAGCCGGGCTCTGCGGGCAGGCCCGGCCGTCCAGTCCAACAATCCCTGGAGGGGATTCCGACACACATGGAGTCTGGGGACCAAAGGCCTAAGACACTGCTGGACTCACACAGGCATGACTGAAGTGTCCCAAAGGCAGCGCCAAGAAGCCACACGTCCAGTCCTAGGTGCCCGAGTCCACGCTGTGCCCACCCTCGGCTGCCCGCTACAGAGCTGGCCCTCCTGTCTCTGTGGCAGGAAGGAGGGACACACACTTCCTTCTAGAAGGGACAGTGCCAGGAGGAACGTCATGGAACTAAATGGAAGGAGCAGCTGCATTTGCTCTATGAAGTTGTTTTGTTTTTTGGTTTTTTTAGCAAGAAATAATGTAAACTAAAAACATGGAAGAAAAAGTTCCATCTTAAAACATAAATTTTATTTCTCAGACTACTCTCAAACTGCAGCTGAGCTACCGACCGCACCGCGCACCCCTCCCCGCCGCCGGCCGGTGCCGGCGACCAGGAAGCGCACCAGCCCTGCGAGCAAAGCACGGGACAAGCAGAGCTAAAGGGACATCGGCTGGATGATGCGACAACTTTCTCCTCGGATTTCATCTTCCCAACGTTCTGTGAGAATTCAACACATTTCCTCTAATGTCGCTTATTCTTTTAAAGAGAAACTGTAAAGCTCTTTATCATGCTGAAATCTACTGCACGTTTACCAAAAAAACCCTCAAGAGCCTTCTTACTTGAGCAAATCCATTAAGTGCCTGATGAAGTCTCCCTGACCGAGCAGCAAGTACCGGCGCATGGCCTGCATGTGGTCCAGCAGGCTGTACTTCTTATTCAGAACATCCAGTAGGTACTTGCTGGTCTCAAAATAAGCCGTGTCAATTTTCCCCTGAAACGCATTTTCCAAATCTGTGAAAAAATCTGCAGCTGTAAAGAACAAAAGGGAAAAGTACACATACGTACATAATCTGCATCTTACGAAGGAGGAATGAGAGACTCACACACACAGAAGTCACTCTACACCCGCTCACAGCTTCGCTGACAGGCCGAGGGTTGTGGTCAGGAGGGCTTGTTTGTTCTTCAGAATAACGGTCCCATTAAGAAAAACCTATTTTAGTACTGCTGCTATTCTAATTATACATTACTGCGGAGAAACTAAGGTGTCCACAGTGAGGAAAATGTAGTTTTCTGTAGAAGGGGAGGTCTGATGGTGCAGTAATGTGAGGACGCCAGGCGCCGAGCTGACCTCGGTCATATTGCGGGGATGGGGGAGGGGGAGGGGCAACATACATTTCTGTTGATCTACGTCATTTTAAAAATGTCAATATCTGCCCCCCC